CTACATCCTCTACTTTGTTGGCATCATATACATCGTCACCGTTGTCTTCATCGTTGGTAGTGTGCACCAATGACCAAATTGAGGTCCAGCTTGTCAACAACAATCTGATTTAATTTCAATAAAACATGAGTTGCAGCTGTTCCCTTATCGTATGCTTGGAATAACCTTTGAAAGGAACGAGCAGCATAGCTAGGATGTAGATAAGAGGCTAATCTACTGCTGGGTTTGTATACAAACTGTAATAGGGGGATGAACCAGAAAGTCTTGCTGAGGTTGGTCAAAACTACGATTTTTATTCTCTTTTCTATGGCTCATTTGTCTGGCAAAACAATGCAATCATGTTAGAGCTGAAAAAAAATGGTCTAAGGTCACCAAATCAGCTGTGAGACTAGCCTTTTATGTCCAAAATGCCTTACTTATCGTATCCTAGGAATATCTCTTTGGGTTACTAATTGAATGATATCAGTTAAACAATAATTAAAGGTATTTATTGGTGTTTATATCGATATTCACCATGATTTCACATTTCGACAGATAGAATCAGGAAACAGCATTCTTAGGCCAGATGTGTGGCGCACTCCAATTTCTAAAGTGGCAGTCGGAGGTGTATGCTGACTCCGTCCAGCCAGGTTATTCATTGTGATAGTGATGATATTTAGGAATTGATTTGATATCTGGCTAATTTCGTCAGAGTCATTCTTGATACATACCTCTCAAGGGGCTCAAGGCAGGCTCCCTGCTTCCAAGCTAGCGTGCATTGCAAAGGGAAGGCCGGGGCCTGCCTTATGAGATCACATCGCAAAAGGGAAGCATCGATTTTAAGATGATATATGGAGGAGTAAGATCAGACTTCGAAATCGGGATCAGAAACGTCAAAACCTATAAATTTCTAAACTTTTCAGAAAAATTGCATGACTATCAGATATTTATATTTGGAGGACAATGAAAATAATTAAGCTGCAGCTGCTGTGAAGACATATCCAAAACTCGCTCACAAACCTGCTTCTCCCATAATTGATACATACAGTGAGGGGGACTTTTCGACCAAGGAGGAAACATGAGTAATGAGTATGGTGTGTTATTTTAGTGTAAGTAGTTGTTTTATTAGTTATGATAAATAATTAGGAATAGGGGGGTTATAAAGAGTATAAGAGTGCATTGTGTTATATTATTATAATTATATGTAACCCACTTTCTTGAGATTATTGATTCATTATAACAGTGTTCTATTTGTATTAACCCACCTAACTGTGTTACAAATCCCTAATAACACCCCGTGTCCTCAGTAACATCCGTCACAACAGCTTTCAAGACGAGACCAAATCGTTGCTTCACATACTCACGTAGGTTGTGTTAGTTATTTACTTTGTTTTTATTTTACTCTTCCAATTATTATTTCTTTAGTTTCCTTCAATCGTTTCTACGATTATTTACCATAACTGCAATCTGTAGTAACCCACGAGGAGTAACCATACTCGTGTGAAATTTATAGAAAATCTTGGTTGGTTGGTTATAGAACTCGTCCCCAATCTCGTATTGGAAAATTATCCAACTAAATACTGAGTGTAGATACGGGTGGTACCTGCAAGCTCCAAGGGTATTTATTAAGCATTAAGAGTTCTGTACAACTGCAGTTAAAATGTTTTAGAATATTTAGTAATAATTTGGGTCAGCATCAAAGTAGTGGTACTTGCATTCAAATTTTTACGGACACACTGAGCAAGAAAACCCTTGATTCAATTTCACGAATACTGCGACATTAGTGTGACAAACGTCTGCCCCAAAGTTCCAAAGGGTAGTTTTCACTCTTCTAATATCGACCCCTGCGGGTCCTACATACTTCCAAATTTTAAATGTATCCCACAGTTTCACACAATGTACTGGAATGTTACACACAGAGCGATATATTCACTATATCCTGTATCACTATATTATTATTATTGTGATATAGAGACTACTAGACAGTATATAATATAGCCGTTAAATGTATCTTATCACTTGTGTTAGTAGTTCACGACCAATCCTCCGGCACTAATATAATTTTCTGATATAATTTTCCCACTGTCCGTTATATATAATACGAGACAAAAGAAACGCAATCTTAGGACGTGAGGAGAATGAGGACTACTCGGGCTAATAAATTATACGAAAGACTTCAGTTAAATTGTTTAATTCTAAAGAAGGAGGAACGTGTTACGTGATATTTTGATCTTAACCGGTTAACTTTGTCTCAACTCTCAGCACTCTGATCATTAGACACTAAATTAGATTAGATCTCCCTGTATCTCCCTGTATGAGCTGTGTATGAGCTGTGTATGAGCTGCTGTACGGGATGAGTCAGAGTAGAGGGTTATCTTACTAGGAGGTGTGTGTTTACATTACTCCTGCTTTCTTGTACTTGTACTAGTATAGTATAGTATTAGTTGCGCTTTCTTGTACTTGTAGTAGTAGTAGTAGTAACTAGTAGTAGTAGTAGTAGTCGCGTACAAGATATCCAGTGTATTTGTAGTGATATCTCACTGAGCTGCGTTGCGTTATCTAACTCACATTCTTGCTCTATCAGACCTGGATTAGCCTTCCTCATGAAACCATCTTACTATATATAAAGCGAGACGATATATATATATTTATTTATCCGTGCCATTTTACTGACACCACGGCATCAACTTTAACACGACTTTCCGCAAAAACCGTAAAAGATATACAACTGAAACTTTTTTGACTGGGTCAAATGCTTTAATGGCCTTCAAATCAGCATGAAAAAATAAAAAATTGGACAAGAAATAGGAGTTTTAGAGCCCAAAATTTGGACCCCCAAGTGGTGTCAAAAACGCGAATTAAATAGGTAATAATTATTTTAGTCTCTTGAGTCTTGACACCACTTTAGGGTTAGACGGGTTCCTGCTAGTTTATTTCATGTCAGTGTCAGCTTTAATTGGCTGGTGTGCTACATAGACTTGTTGTTATTATTGGTTTCTATTGGTTTTAACATCTCAGCTTCGGGGCATCTTATAATTCCTCTTCATTCTACATGCTACTCTCCTCTCATTTTCCATTAGATTTCCCCGGCATCATCTCCTTGGAGGGTTGCCACACCCTAGATGTAGGCAAAGCGTCTTCATGTTATCCTCTTATGGGCAATCCAGGTCCAGCCTTTCTCTCTCTCAAAAAAATAGAAAAAAACAATCTCTCACAGTCGATATATAATAATGAGATGAGAACTTATTTGTGCTTTGTTTGACATCAGCTCTGAACCGCCGTGGTATTGTGCAGTTGCTGATTGCACATGTGTCTTTTCTACCAGCACTTTGAACTGTTAGATGCTTTCCCGACTGTTCCTACTTTATCTCTCAACACGTCACGTGGTTTTGTAATGTAGGAAATTAGGAATGTAATTTGTTAATAGGTGGGATCGGTAGATAGAGAGAAGATGGTATTTGTATTCACTGCTACATACTATACTGTACACTGTACAGTGCTACATACTGTGTAATTCAATTATAATTCAATCTCCTGAGTTTTCCTTTGCTCAGTTCCTCCTCTTTATTGGATAGTTGTAGAGTGCGAGTGTAGACTTAGTAGTAGTAACCAGTTGTTACGTCCGTAATCGTGCTTACTTTGAGCTTCTAGATCTACCTCGTCTGTACTCCGTAATCGTGCTTACTTTGAGCTTCTAGATCTACCTCGTCTGTACTCCGTAATCGTGCTTACTTTGAGCTTCTAGATCTACCTCGTCTGTACTCTGTACTCCGTAATCGTGCTTACTTTGAGCTTCTAGATCTACCTCGTCCGTAGTCGGTACTCCGTAATCGTGCTTACTTTGAGCTTCTAGATCTACCTCGTCCGTAGTCTGTACTCCGTAATCGTGCTTACTTTGAGCTTCTAGATCTACCTCGTCCGTAGTCTGTACTCCGTAATCGTGCTTACTTTGAGCTTTTAGATCTACCTCGTCCGTAGTCTGTACTCCGTAATCGTGCTTACTTTGAGCTTCTAGATCTACCTCGTCCGTAGTCTGTACTCCGTTATCCGTAATCGTGCTTACTTTGAGCTTCTAGATCTACCTCGTCCGTAGTCTGTACTCCGTAATCGTGCTTACTTTGAGCTTCTAGATCTACCTCGTCCGTAGTCTGTACTCCGTAATCGTGCTTACTTTGAGCTTCTAGATCTACCTCGTCCGTAGTCTGTACTCCGTAATCGTGCTTACTTTGAGCTTCTAGATTTACCTCGTCCGTAGTCTGTACTCCGTAATCGTGCTTACTTTGAGCTTCTAGATTTACCTCGTCCGTAGTCTGTACTCCGTAATCGTGCTTACTTTGAGCTTCTAGATATATTTCGTCTGTACTCCGTAATCGTGCTTACTTTGAGCTTCTAGATATACTTCGTCTGTACTCCGTAATCGTGCTTACTTTGAGCTTCTAGATTTACCTCGTCCGTAGTCTGTACTCCGTAATCGTGCTTACTTTGAGCTTCTAGATTTACCTCGTCCGTAGTCTGTACTCCGTAATCGTGCTTACTTTGAGCTTCTAGATATACTTCGTCTGTACTCCGTAATCGTGCTTACTTTGAGCTTCTACTTCGGGATTTACTTGCTATAGTATTACTCCTCTATACAAATGATAGTCACAGCTGCTTATTCAGTGCTTCGCCTACGTTCAATCAATTATTCAATTAATTATTTAATTGAACTATTGAATGTTATGCACGCAGCCAACAGCCTTTCATAAATATGTCAATCGAATTATATCATCATATCATTTCTTACTAGACATATTTTTAAATCACAACTTATTGTATAGTAGAGCCTGTACATAAATATTTAATTAATTAGCCAGTGTTTGGCCAGTTCGTGCAAGAAATGTGATTTATCAGATCTCATATCTCTGGTTTTTTCTATACCGTTCATTTTTCAGGCCTTGTATTACAGACTCTGTAATACACTGTAATTTACAGAGTTTCTACTGTAATAACACTACAGTTCAAGGCATTAATACTATAAAACTGCTCAGATGGCAACAGTAAGTTTCAAAACTGAGTCCCCCTACGTTAAAAGGGAGGAGAGAGAGCACGACCCATCTGATCTGAAGTACCAGAAGTTTCTGGATACAGTCTCTGGGAGTGTTTCTAGCAGGAGACCTGTTACCATGGCCCTCTTTGGGGTGGGAAGAGCTGGTTAGTTCATGTTTAATTTATAGTATTCAAGTTTTAAATATTCATTTTAAATATTCTCCATTTTAGGCATTGCAGTCATCAACAATAATAGTTTGATACGATTACTAGTACTGTTTTCAGGGGGTATTCACTTGGGGAACTTAAAGGCACATTCAAGTATCAACCTGAGATATGTTGTTGAAAGTGATCAAAACAAATGGGACCAGGTTTTTAAAATTAAAACATTTAAATTTTTTCAATAATTTAATGATAAGCTAACATTTTCTGGATTGTATCATCCTTTCTTGTAAGTCATTACAAATACAAACACATCTGGAGTTCCGTGAATTAGTCGCAGAAGAACAAATAAATAACTAGAACTATCCTCTGTATAAATTTAAATGTACATTTTCATCGGGTATATTTTAATGTCGATTATCGAAGCATGTAATAAATGTTAGAATTAATTAATTATTCTATTTAATTTAACAGAATACACCCCTGGCAGATACAGTCAGTATGTGGTAGCAGCACTGAAATAGTTCACCCGGATCAAGCAGCTGAGATGTTATCAGACCCCGAGCTGAACGCGTGTGTTATATGTACCCCTACCTTTACTCACAAGGATATCATTCTGCTGTGTCTGGAGGCAGGTGAGATTATTAATAAAGATGTCTCATTGCAGTATTATTTGGTTATAGAATTACCTTGACTTTTGATATTCAATTATTTAAATTTTATCGTTAAAACTTCATTCCATTGGAAATATTACAAATCAGCCAATTGTAATTGAGAATTTCTGGGTTGTGGCCATTATTCTTAAAAACCTAGAAATGCCTCCTAAGGTCACAGCTCGTATTATTTGCCCATTTTTCTCCTTCTGCACTTGGGGCCCAATGTAATTGCTCGACTTTTCATCAGGTCTCTCGAGGCCTTTTGTTTGGTTATTTGGGTGTATTGGTGTCCCCTGATTGTTATCATCGCTGTACACTTGTCAAGGCATTTCTTGGTTTCTCTAGTCCATCTTACTATATATAAAGCGAGACGATATATATATGTGTATAGGTTTACAAGGTTTACAAGGTTTACAAGGTTTACAAAAAATAGATCTATATTACAGTGAGATAATGTCAGATCAGCATAGCTAAAGGTCAAAGTCCGAAATCCAAATAGAAAATCCGTTACCATTAAGGTGTTTGATGAGTGTAAAGAAAAAGTGAAAATGAAGGGGCTGTGGAGGAAATGTGTATATATCCATGCCATTTTACTGACACCACGGCATCAATTTAACGCGACTTTCCGCAAAAACCGTAAAACATATACAACTGAAACTTTTTTGACTGGGTCAAATGCTTTAATGGCCTTCAAATCAGCATGAAAAAATAAAAAATTGGCCAAGGAATAATAATTTTAGTGCCCAAAATTTGGACTCTCAAGTGGTGTCAAAAACGCGAATTAAATAGGTAATAATTATTTTAGTCTCTCGAGTCTTGACACCACTTTAGGGTTAGACGGGTTCCTGCTAGTTTTTAGAAATTCTATACAACATTGATATTGTAATAAATTCTGATGATAATAATTGAAAGATTTCAATAAAAAAAATATATATACAACAACAATAAATACAACATGAAATTAGTTGGTTAAAAATGTTTCTAGTGAGCCGACTCCCATAACATTACTATAACACTACTACTATAACGGAACTAAGTCCGATGTACGCCAGATAACCCCCTCCATAATATATCCCTGTCAGGGTTCGCAGTTCCTCTTTAGAGTTTGTCCCAACTCCCTTCAGTAACATTGTCTCCAGGTAAAGCAGTTTTCAGCGAGAAACCAATAGGCGAAACTCCAGAGGACACTAAAACTTGTTACATGACAGCTGAGAGGGTGGGTAAACCTCTGTTCTGGTGGTAACTAGGTGGTAACTAGGTGGTAACTAGGTGGTAACTAGGTGGTAACCAGGTGGTAACATAACACTGTCTCCAGGAAAAGCAGTTTTCAGCGAGAAACCAATAGGCGAAACTCCAGAGGACACTAAAACTTGTTACATGACAGCTGAGAGGGTGGGTAAACCTCTGTTCTGCGGGTTTCAGAGGAGATACGATCCTACTTTCGCTGATATTCAGACTAGGGTCAGAAGAGGTATGTGGCTGTGTGTGACATTGATTTTTAGGTATTTGTGATATTCTAGAACATTTTATATCTGTGTTTGGCTTGCTGCCAATTCAAAGGAACAGTCCAAACATAACCAGGAATAGTGCCACGAGAGTGCCGCGACAGTGCTATTGGGATATGGATGTATGACCGACTTTTGATATCAGTTAAGCTGACTGGTACAATGAGTTTCATAATATTATATTTCAGGAGAAGCAGGGCACATCCAGATAATAAAGAGTATATCACGTGACAGCCCGCTACCCTCTCTTGACTATCTCAAGATATCAGGAGGAATATTTCACGATTGTATGGTTCATGATATAGACATGCAGTGTTGGGTACTTGGAGAGTTGCCAGTTCAGGTTAGTTATCATTCAGATGGTATGAGACACAGTTATTGAGGTACTTGAAGTTTGATTCTGGCCGGAGAAAGCATCCCAGAGAAAGCATTACAAGTGGAAAATCATGTTTTCCCATTTCTGTTCATTCCAGGTTCAAATATTATGATATTTCCAGAAGACACGTTTAAGGTACTGCAGTCTGTCAGATTTCCGGAGAAGGCTTTGAAAAATTAAAACAAAATGTGACATTTTTCACAGAATTTTTCTTCGGTGACCAACTTAAATTGCAGGTCCACACGATCGCCAATGCACAGATTCCAGAAATAGCTGAGATTGGTGACTATGATAACGTTGTCACAACCCTTACATACCCATCTGGTCAGTTTTCCATATTACAGCTGTTATTAGTAATTAGTTATTAGTCGGCATTGGCACGCTCTTACATTCCTACTGAACACATCTCAAGTATGATTACTAATTACTAATTACTAATTACTCTCAGGAACGCTAGGAATAATAAACGTCAACAGATTCGCTGCGTACGGTTACGACCAGCGCCTAGAAGTGTTTGGTATGAAGGCAATGTATGAAGCTAACAATGGTAAACCTAACACGGCAGTTTACAGTACCAGTAGTGGATCTAGTTCTGTTCCTATATACCACTCTTTTCCTTCTAGGTGAGAAAATGCTTTTTATTTGGTTTCCACTTTAAACTCACTATGTATGCATGATTCTGCATTTAACTCTTCGGCTGTGTTGCTATTAATAATGCTAACTGTGTTCTATTGCGCGCGCAGGTACGAAGAGAGTTACGCTGCTGAAATGGACCATTTTGTTGGTAAGATTGTTTATTAATTACCAATTACAGAACTAGTTGAGCGCAAATCTGCCACAAATCTGCCACACTCCCTCGGCGCAGATTTACACCAACTTTAACTTCTCGCGACTCAAACCATACCGTTCATACCGACTACTAGGACTCTAGGAGTTCAAGGAGTAGTCTAATTACCTCAGCAAATATGTTGAGAGTCTCAAAAAGTTCCATGTTGCAGCAAAAAGACTTAGGGCCTCAAAAGCACAACTAAAAACATAAAATTTCAAAATTTGCCACAAATTGAGTCGCTTATTGCTCAAAACTGGCCCGAACGATTTTCTTTAAATTTTTTCAGTACCCTTAGCATACCTTTTGAGGTGTTCCTGCAAAATTTAAAGACATTTCTATGTCTAGGAGCTGAGATATGAAGTCAAACACAAAAATAAGTTTTGTGCCACTCGCAATCGGTGCCACGCCGAAAGCAAGCGACCAATTTGTCTGAAACTTGGTAGGTATCAATAATGCCCTAAAATATGGCGACTGTCCAAAAATTATGGAGATTCGATGTTTAGAACCGGAGATATGGGCCGAAAAACAGCAAATTAAGGATGGGGCCATATCTCAGCTCCTAGACATAGAAATTTCTTTAAACTTTGCAGGAACACCTTAAAAGGTGTGGTAAGGGTATTGACAAAATTTAAAAAAAATCGTTCGGGCCAGTTTTGAGCAATAAGCGACTCAAAGTAATTTTTGAAATATTTTCTTGTGTTTGACATTATATCTCTGATTCCAGACATAGAAATTTAAAAAAATTTGATATAATCTTTAAATAGTGCATATCTAACTGCTGTAGAAGTTTTTAAAAAATCGTTCGGGCAGTTTTTGAAAAAATCGACCTAACATGTTTTGAAATTTTTCCTTGTGTTCGGTATTGTATCTATGGTATTACGCGTCACATCAAGCTCATATTTTGTAGTCACAAATTACTGTTTGGGAAGAAACTGCTGTCAAAATTTCAGTATGATATCTGCTAAGATCTTTGAGTTATGACGTCTTGAATTTGTGGCAAAAGTGTGGCAAAAGTGTGGCAAAAATGCGCTCAACTAGCCCTCACCAATTATGAATTACTAAGTTGCACTAATTACTGATTAATAATTACTACCAATTACTAGTCACTAATTAACAATTACTAATTACTAATTACTCCAGATGTAGTGAACGGAACTAGAGAGTTACCCATCACGTACTTACACTCCAGTGCTGTATCTAAGATAGCTGATGCTGCTGAGAAGTCAGCTAGAGAGGGGGTCTCTGTAGGGCTAGTGTGGGACAAAGCGGAGATACCGGCTGGTTACTTCTGTTGATTAGCTAGATAGTGGAATCAGAATAACACATGGTTATTATCTTTAGAGTTAGAGTTAGAATTTTACAGTCAGATTTTATCAATTTATAAGTATTATTATTATGCTAGGTTATTGTACTAAATATTGTTAGCTGTTGTTAGCTGTTGTTAGATATTGTTAGATATTGCTAGACATTGTTAGGTATTGTTAAATATTGCTAGTTATTCTTTGCACCATTTATAATTTATCTGCAGCTTCATATTGGTTTACATCAGTTTATAATTCTTGATATTAATCGTTAGTAATTATGATTAAATATGTTTCTCTCATAACAAATTACTACTGCTAGTTCTCACACATAAATGATTCAACCTGCCCACCAATCACTCACTATTAGTATTGGGGGTAGTTCACATATCACGTAATCGGCTGAGGGGGGGGGGGGTTTCCGAATGATTACGCTAGAGTAATTTTGACACAATAGCTATGTGTAAAACTGATTACGGAGGGAGGGGGGGGGGGGGGGGGGTAAAAATGTTCCAAAAAATGATTACGTAATATGTGAACGACCCCTTATTATTATATTGCCTGGACATAATAACAATCATTTTAACATTTCCTGGATTAGATAAACTTTTAGCCCTCTGCCAATCTCCCTTAGAACTTAACCTTATACTCTTAGCGATGCTTTAGTTAAATGGGTAGATAATAATGGTTTAGCTCTCAACCTTAAGAAAACAAATTATATGATCTTCTCTCGACAAAGAAATCTTAATTATCGTGATGTGGCAATTTCTGGTGTCACAATTGAGAGAAAAACAGAAGCCCGTTTTTTAGGAGTTATAATAGATGATAAACTAAACTGGTCCCATCATATTTCTGCCATGAAAATGAAAATGTCCAGATACATAGGAGTCATGTACAAACTTAAAAAATATCTGCCTCTCGAAGCACGTCTTCAAATTTATCAAAGTTTTGTGCAGTCACACCTTAATTATTGCAGCCTTGTATGGGGTTTTGCTGCCAAGTCTCATATTGAATCGCTTTTTGTAAAACAGAAAATGGGCCTTCGAGCAGTATTACCTGGTTTCGTCAATTACTGGTACAAGGACGGTATCCCCCCAGCAAGTACCAAGTCTGGCTTTTATTCACATAAAATATTGACAGTACACAGTATCATTGTAAAGAACGCACTCATTTTAATGCATAAATTGAAAAACTTTCCTAATCTAGTACCATTGTCTCTCAAGAAAACAATTCCCAAAAGTGCACCATTATTTAAGACTAACCTGGATTCTATTCTCACTACACAATGGTCAGAAAAGTATGGTCAACACCCTTACAACAACTCAGTATTTTTTAAAGGTCCATTATTAGCAATAAACCGATATAATGTTGCAGCAACTTCCCCGCCTAGTCTATTTAACCTGAACATTTACAAAACTTGTATAAAAACTATGCTCATCGATCAGCAAAATGAAAACATCGAAGACGATTGGCCTAATTTCATGTTATATTGTATAACAGGACTAAGAAAATCAAAGCGTAACATAAACCAAAATGCCGATAATAACCTTGTCTCTACATCTTAGATTATATGCACACACTTATGCATCACTCAATAAACGTCGCATATCTCATCAATTACACTGCCAACATAGGACATTCTTTTTTATCGCCGCGATTTCAAATCAAGTTACAAATTCTACAAATTTTGAAGTGCTCAGTCTTGTTTTACTTTTCTTATCTTTACCTATTAACCATTGGAAAATAAAACTTTAAATTATAAACCTTCATTGCATACTTTACAGGTAGAATCTAAATTGAATAGTTTGAGATTTCCTTTACATTTTATATTTATGCATGTGCCCCACGGGGATGAATTTCTTATTACCATTGATATTATATATATTTTTTGAGTAAACATTGGCTGGTACCACGGGCCAGTCCCCAACAAAAAAAAAAAAAGTCACCCCAATCTTAGCACGATTTTAGGGTGGGAGTTTCTGGGGCGACAGTGAATACTTAGCCATTGTATTGAAATATACTTTAAACGTAGCTGACAAATAATTTGAATCATCCCCATTGTAAATATGTTTAGTTGTAGGTATACTAGATTTCATTTTCTTTTCTTCTTATAATAATATGTTTGGATTTTTGAATTTAAGTTTTCTGCTAGGACTTAGAAATTATAATAATCATTAGATTCGTTAGATTTATAATTATAATTTATAGAATTAGACGTATTATATAGTCTAATATATAGTATTAGACTAATTTTGTTGAACATTAAAGTTGAACTCAGATATTTGTAACACTTGTGTACCTGTGCTTACAATTAAACTCGTTATAATTTTATGATTTCAACATTAATTCTTTATTCAAGAGCTCATGTTTTCTTTATAAATAATAAAAGTTGCATAATGATATACTGGCCGATCAAAAATGTGTAATAACTTGGTTTGGCTTTGCATTCGTAATTATTCACAGGACATAATAGTATATATTATATATATATAACAGTGACAACTGATGCGATCATGGTTTTGTATCATGATTGAAACATTTGTCTGACTCAACCGGTCGTTTCAATTTGTATCTAGCTCTCGGCCTGCCGATTGAGCACTGTCAGCAGACGACGCCACCCACAATTATTATATATACTAATGTCTTGTGAATAATTAGGAATGCAAAGCCTAGTATTATGGTGCTGCAATTATAACTGCTGGTGAAAGAAACGTTTGATGAGCCTTGAAGTTAATTCAATTTAAATTAAAAAAAAGGAATATAATCTTGAGAAGATTTATTCGGTTCAACTTTTATTCTGTGATTCTTAAAACTCATAAACTGATAAATATGGAAATTGTTTACTTTTCAGTGTTTTCTTTTCGTACAGTTAATACAGTGAGAGATTTACATAACTTTTTGCAGGATATGCCAATGCAGAGTACAAATTCACTTAACGGAGTAATGAATACGGGCCCTGATCTGCCGATCGCAATGGAAATGAAAACTGAGGAAGAACAACCTACTGGAAAATCGCATGATTTCATATGTCCAAAATGTGAAGCCCATTTTCTTTATGAAAGTTGTCTCATTGAACATATCGAAAAAAATCATAATGATATAATCAGGAAGGGTTTGCACTCTTTTGCAAATAAGCCGGCTTACCTGTCAAAACTAACAGAAGAAGTGATGAAGCTGCAAACAATTCTTGCAAAGGAGGATCATTCTTCCTGCATGATTGTTCATAAGAATTTCGTTGCTCACCATGATGCGAGTATAAGTCGTTTCACTCCTGCTGAAGAGAAGTCGTTCAAGTGTGCTGAATGTCCATGTGAGTGTTCTTCCAAAACTGGTCTTGTCAAACATCGCCGCCTTATGCACTCTGCAAAAACCTACAAGTGCAAGGAATGTTCATATTCTGGTCCTTTAAGAAATCGCCTGATTGATCATCAGAAAATTCACACACGAGAAAAAATGTTAATGTGTTTGGAATGTTCTTATGAATGTACTTCGAAAAGCACTTTGGTCCGGCATCAGCGTCTCCACACAGGAGAAAAGATCTATAAATATGATTTGGAGTATTCCCAATTTTCAATGAAGAAAAAGCGCCTCTTAGAGTTAGGAGAAAAACCACATAAATGTGGTGATTGTCCTGCATCCTTCGGAACCAAGTCACATCTTTTCAGACATCAGATGACTCATTCTGGAGTGAAGCCGTACAAGTGCAATGAATGCTCATTGTCTTTCACTGAGAACCAACATCTTAAACGCCATCTGATGATTCATACTGGAGAAAAACCGTACAAATGTGAGAGTTGTTCATATAAGTGCTATAGGAAAGATTATCTGGACAAACATCGTCGTAGTATGCACGCTGCAACAGGACCCTAGATAATATATTACGGGTATATGGCCCCCAGAATATAGGTGGCCCCCAAAATATAGGTCATGTTAGTGGATACAGTTCTAACCAAGATAAGCGATACTAATGGGATCTGTTACTGCTAGGTTGGAGTAAAACATGTAACTTATGTTTCTGGATAAAAATTTTGGACCTACATGAGGTATTTTGGTATATTTGGTCATGACAGCGAAAGATTTAAACGATGTTGTCATTTTCTAGAGGGGTAAATATGGCGAAAAATTGTCATGACAAAAATCTGTCCAACACATGCCATTAAGACTACTGGTATGAGTATAAGTATTATTTTAAGCTATCTTTTCATCGAGACATCTGCAAACTGACAATTTGGAAAAAAGTTATGGCCACCACAATTTTACGGGCCCCCAGAATATAGGTCTATACGACCCCCAGAATATAGGTTGGTCAAAAACCCTGAACATGCCCAAAACCATGCTTTGGGATGCTCTACTTGTAGCTACTAGTCTCCTGAACCCACATATCAAGTTTTATCAAAATTGGATAAAAATTGGCCGAGTTATGGGATAAAAACAAAAACCATATGCCCATATTTGGGCATACGCACCAAATTTGATCGATTTTGGTCCATAAATTGGTCTAATATCAATATTTTTGAATGAAACCAACTTTATATGGAAGGTAAGCATATATTACACATTCTCTATGATTATCAGCTCAATATCTACCTAACTGTGGATTCTGTGTTCAAATAATCGCAAAAAATGAACAAAATCGCCCATATCTCAAACTGACTTCGCTCAAAACAATAGAACTCAATAGGGTTTCAATATTTTCACATGAAATTTTCAGAATCAACGTAGAATTGTCTCATGACCTTAAGTTTTGGGACAGAATTTTGAGTTAGGCCTTTAAAAAAATTTGGCGGCCAAAAATGTCTGATTTACAGTCATTGAGGTGCACATTGTATTGATACAGATAAAAACAGCCCCCCTCAATCATATCTGACACTCCTTCAATCTTATTTAAGTATTTAGTTAAGATCCCTACTAAATGAGTGCATGAAAGCTTTTTAACAAGTAAAATTAAAGATTTTACTCATTACGGGTATATGGCCCCCAGAATATAGGTTTTTTTAAAAAAATAGCGACCAAGATTCTGCATTTTCTCTGTCACCCTGAGCATTAAGGAATGTGGGGTAGTGATGAGAAACAGTTAAAGAACATATGCTGAAGAGATGGCATCATCAAAATGTATGAAGGTGGAGTATTTGAGGACGATTTTTGCATACCTATATTCTGGGGGCCGTAGTTTTTGATTTTTTGCTATTAAGTATACTCTAAACCTTTTCAATTTTGTATCTGGAGCCATTGGCATCATCAATACAGTCTCAGCAACATATTCTGACTGCATATAACTGTTTGTGACAATTTTAGAACAACTTAGGAACAGATGTTTGGACCTATATTCTGGGGGCCCTGTTAAAAAATGGTATTTTTACAGGTGAAAAAAAAGTACACTTAAA